AACTCATTCTGTGAAGCCATCATAATCCTCATCCCATAAGCAGGCAGGGACTCATCAAAGAAAGAGAACTATAGACACATTTTTTGCTGAACATTGATGATAAACTTCTTAACAAAATTTTGGCCAATCGACTTCAACAATTCATCCAAAAAATCATACACCACGATCAAATAGGATTCATTTCAGGGATGCAAATCTGGTTCAATATATGCAAATCAATTAATATAAATCATCACATCAACAGGAGCAAGGATAAGAACCACGTAATTATCTCAATAGATGCAGAAAAAGCATTTGACAAGATCCAACATCCCTTTATGATGAAGATTCTGGAAAAATTAGGAATCCATGGAACATTCCTCAATACAATAAAGGCTGTATATGACAAACCTACAGCCAGCATTATACTCAATGGTGAAAAACTAAAGCCATTTCCTCTTAACTCAGGAACAAAACAAGGATGTCCACTCTCTACTTCTCTTCAATCTAGCTACAGCAATAAGACAAGATGAAACATAAAAGGGATCCAAATAAGGAAAGAAGAAGTAAAACTCTCCCTCTTTGCAGATGACGTGATCTTGTATTTAAAGAATCCCACAAACTGCACTCCCAAATTACTCAAGCTGATTCAAAACTTTGGCAAAGTAGCAAGGCATAAAATTAACCCTCAAAAATCAATGGCTTTTCTGTATGCCAACAATGAGAAAAGTGTGGCTCAAATTAGGAAAGCAACTCCATTTGTAATAGCCCCATAAAAAATAAAATACCTAGGAATTAACCAAAGAAGTTAAGGACCTCTATGATGAACACTTTAAAAACTTGAAAAAGGAAATCAAAACAGAACTTAGAAAGTGGCAAAAACTCCCATGGTTCCTGGATTGGAAAGATCAACATCGTGAAAATGGCAATACTTCTCAAGGCTATCTACAAATTCAGTGTGATATCAATTTTCCAACCTCATTCTCCAAGGAAATAGAAGAGATAATCCAAAAATTTATATAGAATCATAAAAGACCCCAAATAGCAAAAACAATCCTCAACAGAAAGAACAGTGCTGGAGGAATATCAATACCAAATTTCAAATTCTACTACAAAGCCACAGTAATCAAAACATCTTGGTACTGGCACAAGAACAGACCTCAGGACCAATGGAATAGAATTGAAAACCTAGAAATGAACCTACAGACCTATAGCCATCTAATCTTCTATAAGGGAGCTAAAAAAATAGAATGGAAGAAAGACAGTCTCTTCAGTAAATGGTGCTGGCAAAATTGGTTAACTACTTGTAGAAAACTAAAGCTAGATCCTTATATATCACCCTGCACCAGAATCAACTCCAAATGGATCAAAGACCTCGGAGTCAAAGCAGACACTGAAAGCATTACAGGATGGAATAGGAGAAACCCTAGGTCTTGTTGGCACAGGCTGAATATTTCTTCATAGAGACCCAGAAACACAACAAATCAAAGAAAGATTGGACAAATGAGATTGCATGAAATTGCAGAGCTTCAGCATGGCAAAGGACATAGCTAGCAAGATCAATAGAAAGCCTACAGATTGGGAGAAGATCTTCACTAGCCATACAACGGACAAGGGTCTCATATCTAAAATATACCTGGAACTCAAAAATTTAAATCCCCCAACAACAAATCTTCAAAGAAACAACTGCCCAATAAATAAGTGGGCTAAAGATTTAAAGAGAAACTTCTCTGAAGAGGAAAGAAGGATGGCCAATAGACACATGAAGAAATGCTCGACCTCCCTAGCCATAAAAGATATGCAAATCAAAACAACATTGAGATACCACCTCACCCCAGGTAAAATGGCTATAAGCAAGAACTCTAATAACAACAGATGCTGCAGGGGATGTGGACAGAAGGGAACCTTACTGCATTGTTGGTGGGAGTGTAAACTTGTTCAACCACTTTGGAAAGCAGTATGGAGCTTCCTCAAAAGACTCCACATAGAGCTCCCCTATGACTCAGCAATCCCACTTCGGGGCATTTACCCAAATGTTCACAAACAAGACACACTAAAGCTACCAGCACCAACATGTTTATTGCAGCATTATTTACCATAGCTAAGATATGGAACCAACCCAGATGCCCCTCAGTAGATGAATGGATCAAGAAAATGTGGTATATATACACAATGGAATTCTATGCCTCCATCAGAAAGAATGACATTGCCCCATTTGTTAGGAAATGGAAAGACTTGGAAAAAATTATATTAAGTGAAGTAAGCCAGGCCCAAAGAAACATAGGTCTCATGGTCTCCCTTATTTGCAATAACTAGTATATGTCTGAGTCAAGCAGAAAAGGTCAGATAAGTTGATGTTAGGGAAATGAACGCTAAGATATGTATTCAAATTTTTTTTCTTTCATACGATTGTTTCTAACACATTTATAAGATTTTTTTTGTTGTTGCTTTGTTTGTCCCTCCCCCATGGTATAACCCCTGCTTTCACTGCATTTGATGTCGGTATAATTTGTGGAGGGGAAGGGATAAAACAAATCATTTAAATAGGGATACAGGTGGACCCATTGCAACCATGAGATGTACAAGTCGTTATGTAGAAAACGAACTTTACAACTTTGGAGGGGGGTGGGGAGGAGGATTGGGTGAGGGAGGGGGGGAGGATGGGAAGGGATGGGAAGGGGAAACAAAGGAGGAGGCTACAATGCTTGATAAGAAATGTACTCATTATCTTGCCCATGTAATTGTAACTCCTCTGTACAGTATTTTCACAATAAAAAAAAATTCACTGAGTCTTATAAAAGCCAAAACTTGGGGCTGGGAAGGTAGCTCAGTGGTAGAGTGCTTGCCTTGCATGCATGAGGCCCTGGGTTCGATTCCTCAGCACCACATAAGCAAAAAGAAAAAAGCCAGACGTGATGCTGTGGCTCAAGTGGTAGAGCGCTAGCCTTGAGCTGAAGAGCTGAGGAACAATGCCCAGGCCCAGAGTTCAGGCCCCATGACAGGGTAAAAAACAACAACAACAGCAACAACAACAAAAAGACAAAACTTCACTGAGGTATCAATTAAAAACCAGAATCACTACAGAATGACCACTGCTTGGGGCAGCATGGCATATGTGCTTGTCTAAGGTATTCTGTGGCTGCATCTGTGTGGAAAGGCATAACAAGAGTAACACAATACAGGAGAAATGGTAAGTGATCAAACTTTAAGACCCTTTCTCCACTTGAATGTTTTTTCTATCTGCTTTTAAAAATCATCAGTCATTTTACAAAGAACCTTAATATCAGAGTATTTTCAAAAGGCTAAAAGAGATTTAAGGCCATGGCTAAAGTTGTGAAGTCTGAGGGAGGAGGAATTAGGTCATCAAAAGCTAGATTTCACACAACGGCAGGCACACATGCTTTTGGTAGAAAAGAAGACACTGGTCTTGATAGAGGCTAGTCTTTTTCATAATGCACAGGAAATCTCGCTCATTGACCTCTCTGTCTCCATCCCAACCAGCTTCATCAATCATTTCCTACAGCTCCTTGCCAGTCAGGTTTTCACCACATCCTTGGCTACCCACTTCAGACTTTTGAACGGTATCTTCCCAGTTTCATCATCATCAAACACCTTGAAAGCATTCAGCATTTCTTCTTTGTTGTCTTTCTCAGTCACTTTCTTAGTTATCACAGCCAAGAAGTCATAGAAGGTCATTTTTTTCTGTCCTTTCCTTATCAATTTCACTTATCATTTTCTTGATTTCTTCTTTCCTGGGTTCAAAATTAAGGTCTCTCATTGCCACCTTAGTTCTTTAACATGGATGGTCCTTGTGCCATTGGCATCAAGGAGACCAAAGGCCTCCTGGATTTTCTGTTTTTGCTCTTCAGTAAGCTCTGGTTTAAGACTCATACTTTTAAGCTGGGCAATTGGTATCATGTTTGTCTTCTTAAAAGGAGAAGCCATTGCTGATGGAATCTGCTCATGAATTCTCTTTATAACATTTTTCTTAGCTTACTACAGCTGAAGATGGCTCCATAGCCCCTCATTTCCTAGTCTCTGTCCTCAGTGTTGCAGTTTGAAGATTGTGTGTTGCATAGCAGTAGATAAAAGAAACATAAAAGAAGAATGACTTTTTTAAAAAGTAATAGCCTTGAAATCAGACAGAGTTGGCTTGAAGCCCTTGGACAAGTCCGATAACCCTTCTAAGACTCAACTTTCTCATCTGCTTAAAAAAGAATGATAAATCCAGGCACTAGTGGCTCAAACCTCTAATCCTGGCTACTCAGGAAGCTGAGCCAAAGGATCACTGTTCAAAGCCAGACAAGTCCAAGAGACTCCATCTCTAATTAGCCAGCAGAAAGCCAGACTGGAGCCATGGGTCAACTGATAAAGCACCCGCTTAATAAGCACACCAAGAAAGCACAAGTACCCAGTACCAGCAAAAAAAAAAAAAGAAAAAAGGTGGGGAAGGAAGTAGGAGGAGTACCCATCTCCCAGAAGACCTATGAAGTTAGGGAGAATGTAGAGAACACACTGGAAAACACTACAGCACCCATAGGCAGTAATTGCTGAGCAACTGACAGTCATTAAGACAGAGAGAGCAATGACTGTCTTCAGTTTATCTTTTTGATCCAGCTAGATTAGCTGGTTCATTTTCTATGTTACTCAAAATCCCCTGTGATCAACTATTAAGCAAAATAAATACTCTAATAGTTTTTGACTATGAAAAAAGCTAAAAATGTGGCAAGTGCATGTCAAATATTACATTATAAGATAACACTATTTGGCATTAAATATATACATTTCAAAACATCCTTTATACCATCTCTACCTGATTTTTCCTTTCCAAAGACCCAAAACTTCTACTGCCCTTAAAATGCCTTACAACTGAATTTTCAGCTAACAAGTGAGCAGAATTCTTCCAACCTCCAGCAAGAAAACCAAAACCAAATTCCTATTTGTTGGAATTTAAGGAGAGTTAGGAAGAGGTTCAGCTTCTCTACACAGATGTGGTTAACCAGATCATGTGTAATGCTTACCAAGAATGGCAGTGGGAACAAAGCTGGTTCCTCAAACAGGGCAAGAGAAAGGTCTACACAAATAAAGAAGTATGTGGCTGCTCTCATTGTCCAGTGGTTATAAAAGTAGTAAAGTCTGAAGAGGAAAGAAAATAAAAGTGGTTATTACTGAGGGTCAGGAGCTCAACAGCACTCAGGTTTTTCTCTACAAGACTAAGGGGCTGCGGGGAGGGGAGGTTGTGTCAGTGTGTCTTCCTAGCATATTCAAGGTTCTACGTTCCATCCCCACACTGCAAAAAAGTAAAATCAGTGAATAAAAATTACTAATGAGCTGGGTGTCAGTACCTCATGGTACTGACAATCCTAGCTACTTAGGAGGCTCAGATCTGAGGATCGTAGTTCAAAGCCAGTCCACGCAGGAAAATCCATGAGACTCTTATTTCCAATGGAAACACCAAAAAAGTTTAAGTAGAGCTTGTACTCAAGTGGTACAGTGCTATCCTTGAGCACAAAAACTCAGAGACAGGACCAATGACCTGAGTTCAAGCCCCAGTATCAGTACACACACATATTAAAAAAAATAGTATGTAAAATAAAGAAGTTAGCCTCATCGTACCTCCTTTAAATTCTGGGGATGAGAGGCATCATTCATTTAAAAAATTCTAACAGAAAACAAAATCAAGAATGTGATCACATCTCAAACAACACTTTCTGGATAAGCTTAGGTGAGAATTGGTGCCTTCTCACCAAGTAGTTGGCAGAAATGAAAGAATACTCCTTTGAGGACTTTGGTGACTGACGCAGAGGAAACCTTTGGTCTGTCAGTGATCTGTCATTATGTGTCATGGCGCCTAACCCAATGTACACCACCCCATCTGATGGCAGGCCCAGAACATATCTGGCAACTACTTGGTTCCCTTGCTGGAGTGAGGACAGCGCCCCCTCCTGCCTGGAAGCATCTGACAGCATTTCCTGCCCTTGAGGACATCTGACACGGAGCCGATGGTAAGAAACATTTTGTTCTTATTCAAGGACAAATGCTTGGTTCAATGCTTAGAGAGTGAGATGGAAAAAACTGGATTCCAGCCTGGTGCTAATAGCTCACACCTGTAATCCTAGTTACTCAGCAAACTGAGATCACAGTTCAAGGCCAGCCCAGGTAGAAAAGTCATGAAGACACCATCTCCATAGTAACCAGCAAAAAGCTGGACTGGAAGTGTGGTTCAGGTGCAAGAGTGTCAGCTGAGCAAGCAAGCTGAGCAAAGGTGAGGTTCTGAGTGCAAACCTTGGCACCAGTCCAAAAAAAAAAGGAAGAAGAAATTAAACTCCATGAATTAAACAAATCTGAGTGTTGCATCCCAGTTTTGTTCATTACTCTATTAGCCTCTCTTCATCTCTGAAGCTCTTATAACTTAAAATAACATTGACTTTGGACATGGAAGTGCAGCTCAATAGTTGAAAACTTGCCTAGCATGTTTGAGGCTCTGGATTTGATCTCCAGCTCTGCAATTTCTGTTTTATCCAAGTCTGTTTGCCATACCCTACATCCTTCACGAAGTACAGAATTCAAATTTGTTCACCATCAGGCATACTAAGTTCTGGTAGTCAGATAGTTCTAGGGGACAGAAGGTCTCATACTTTACCTGATGGCCTGAGGGGATGTTTCAAATGGAACATTCCGGTTGTACTGGGCATCAGAGACATAGGCAGCTGCCAGGAGGAGGTCCTGCTCCCCGTGAAGAGAAAGAAAAGGGAGAAAAAGGTCAGAGTAGGAAAGGTCATATTTCCTTCTCCTTTGTGATGCTTCAGGACCCCCTCATACCCTTACCCTCTTCCCCTGAGCCTCTGTCCCCAGAGGCAATGGACATCATCAGTGTGGTATGTTCACTGCTCCAGGATCCTGCAGCCCAGCTGGACCACAGAACACTTCGCCATGTTGAATTTAAATACAGATGCTCAGAAGAAGAAAGGAAAGTAAGAAATCCCTGAACAGATCATGCATGGGTCCTTAAATGGTATGTTTTGCATACATATGAAGGGTTGTGGCTACCTATTGTGCACACACAAATATACAAACACAGAATTATTTTAGTCTACTTGATAGGTAGTTAAAGAACTTCTCTCTCTCTCTTTCTCTATCTCTCTCTGTGTCTGTGTGTGTGTATATTGTGCCAGCACTAAGGCTTGAACTCAAGGCCTAGGCACTATCCCTTAAGTTTTTCCACTCAAGGCAGGTGTTTTATCATTTGAGCCATACCTTCATTTCTGGCCTTTTGCTGGTTAATTGGAGATAGAAGTTTCACAGATTTCTGCCCAGGCTGGCTTCAAATCTTGCTCTTCAGATCTCAGCCTCCTGAGCAGCTAAGATTACAGGTGTGAGCCACTGGTGCCAGATTTCAAGAGTAATTTTTGACAAGTTAAATTGTTGCCTTGGTGACTTGTAAATCTAACTCTTTCTTAAGGAATGACTGTTTACCTGCATATAATTTGAAGTGATAAAATTAGCTCAGTGGTAGACCATTTGTTTAGTGTGCACAAGGCTTTGAGTCCCCTTCTCAGCACCACACAAAAAATTAATAGTCAAATTACTTTTATATAATTCATGTTTCACTTTTGTTCAATTTAACCTGCATATTCTCTATGATAGTATATATAGATCTACCTAAATTTTAAAATATTTGTTATTTTAATAATTTCCAATTTTTAAATTTCAAACATAATCACACCTAAATATTTCTGTCTCTGTCTCTTCCTCCCTCTCTGTCTCTCTGTGTATCTGTCTCTGTCTCTGTTTGTGTATCTGTCTGTCTTTCCCTTTCTCTCTCACATACACACACACACACACACACACACCCCTTCATGCCAGGTAAATGTTTTTGTAGGACAGAATGTAAGTTCTGCATGAAAAGTAGATGTGCTTTCTATGTGAGAATTATGTCAAATTGCCTCCTCCAAAAGTTAAAAACAGGGGGCTGGGAAGGTGGCTCAGTGGTAGAGCGCTTGCCTTGCATGCCTGAAGCCCTGGGTTCTATTCCTCAGCAAAAAGAAAAAAGCCAGAAGTGGCGCTATGGCTCAAGTCGTACAGCGCTAGCCTTGAGCTGAAGGGCTGAGGAACAGCGCCCAGGCCCACAGTTCAGGCTCCACGACCGGACCCCAAAAAAAAAAAAAAAGTTAAAAACAGTGCTAGATCTGGGTGCCAGTGGTTCACACCTGTAAACCTAGCTACTCAGGAGGCTGAGATCTGAGGATCATGTTTGAAGCCAGCCCAGGCAAAAAAGGTCCATAAGTCCAAAAAAGTCCAATTAACCACTAAAATGCCAGGAGTTGTGGCTTAAGAAGTAGTAGAGCCTTGAACAACACAAAAACTCATAGATTGTGCCCAGGTCCTAAGTTCAAGCCCAGAACTGGACCAACACACACACACACACACACACACACACACACACACTACACTAGTTCATGAGCACCATATTTTCCTGTTCCCATAAACAGTGATAAGATTTTAAATAGTTGCCAATATCCAACCAAACAAAGAGCATCTGGAAACTGGCTTTTCCTGTAGACCAGTCCTGCTGTGTCTCCCTGTGGGCCACACATTCCTGATTCTGGGTAAATGAGATGTGTAGAGCTATGCAGACTTTCCAAATACTTCACAGAGAAAAACAGCCTATCCAGCCAGCTGATTACCTGAGCTGTCTCCTCATAACAGAGGAGGCGTCCTGTCTATTTTGGATGAAATCTCTTAGTAATCAGCAAGTCAATTTTTTTAAATGAAGGGGAATAACAAAATAGTAAGACAAAGGATGAAGGGTGAACCAATGCAACAGCAATACTCACAAAACACCATGTTGGAAATGAACTTTACAACTTGAGGGAAGGGAAATGGGGGGAGGGAAGAGGGAGAAAACAAAGGAGGGGGTAACAATATTCGACAAGAAATGTACTCGTTACCTTACTTATATAACCGTAACCCCTCTGACACCACCCTTACAATAAAATAAAATAAAAATGAGCTGAGCACTGATGACTTTTGTCTGTAGTCATATCTACACAGGAGGCTGAGATGTGAGGATCACAGATCCAAATTGAAACTAGCCCAGGCAGGAAAAAAATCTGTGAGTATCTCATCTCTAATAAAAACTATCCAAAAAAATCCCCACAAGTGTAGCTGTGGCTCAAGTGGTAGAGCTCTAGCCTTGAGCAAAAAAGCTCAAGGACAGTCCCTATGCCTGAGTTCAAGCCCCAGGACTCACAAAAAACAAACAAAAAAACAAAATCCTGCATGAAGTATTCAAAGAGGTCCAAAGATTCCAAACTTTATAAGATGGTCCCTAAATCATGACAGTTCAATTCAGAATTTTTCAACTTTATGATGGAACAAAAGCAACATACATTCAGTAGAAACTGTGTTTTGATTTTAAATTTTGGTTTTTGATATTCCATTTGGGTCCAGCAATCCATTCATTCCATTTCTAAGTATTTACCAAAAAGCAGCACTTAACACATGTCCACAGGAAGGTTTGAACATCCAGCCTAAGAATGCAGGGTATGTTGAACACACTATTCTAAGGCTACACTTGCGCAAATGTTTGTTCCACTTAGTCAAAAGCTAGCTATTACCAGATATCAACAAACAGGTAAATGAGTATACAAAATATGTTACAGATACCCAGTGTACTACTACTCAGCAGTAAAAAGGAGTGTGCAACTGACACATGCCATGAAATGCATGAATCTCAAAATAGTTGTGCTGAGTGAAAGAAACTAGTCCTTTCCTTCCAAACAGTGACCACTGAAATGAGCCCATTGTATAAAAGAGAAAAAAACGTTAAGTATAAAAATCTATTCTCTATAGCATAGAGAATAAAAAATGATACAGTAATGGAAACCAGATTAGTGGTTGTAGGGATTTGGGGTGGGAGGTGTTATGAAGCAAGGTAGGGGTTATGAAACATAGAGGAAACTTCTAGGTATAACAAGTATGTGCATTATCCTCACTGTGATGTTATAAGTACCTTTATGCTTCAAAACTCATCAGGTTGTACACATTAACAAATATAATGTATATCACATATAGTTCAATAAGCCTGTGAAATGTCTAAATAAATGATTAAATAAATGTGTGGATTAAAAACTGATGAGAAGAGCCTGGAGTGGTGGCTCTTGCCTGTAATCTCAGCTACTTAGCAAGCCAAGAACTAGAGAATCATGGTTTGAAGTCAGCTTGGGTGAAAAGTTAATGTGAGATTTCAACAAATAAGTCAAGCATGGTCATTTGCACAGTGATCTAAGGTATTTAGGAAAAAAGGTTGTGGTTCAAGGCTAGCCCCAGGCAAAAAGCAAAGCCCTATAAACAGTAATAATAACCATGGGCTGGGAAGGTGGCTCAGCGGTAGAGTGCTTGCCTTGAATGCATGAGGCCCTGGGTTCGATTCCTCAGCACCACATTAGTAGAAAAAGCCAGAAGTGGCATTGTGACTCAAGTGGTAGAGGGCTCATGGCGAGCACTCTAAGCCCAGAGTTCAGCCCCACGACTGACAAAAATAAATAAATAAAAATAACCAAAAAGGGCTCAGGTTATGTCTCAAGTGTAGAATGTCTGGCTAGAAAGCACAAAGCCCTGAATTCAAACTCCAGTACTGCCAAAAATAAATAAACAACAACAACAACGAAGACTACTGTGAAAGCCAGGTACAAACCTGGAATCCTAGCACTTGGGAGGCTGAGGAAGAAGGATCTCAAATTTAAAGCTACCCTGAGCTACATAGTGAAACTCTCATAGAGAATAAAGCAATAAAAGATATTACTAACCTCAGAGATTGATTAGCTGCTGTAATAATGATCACTGTTGTAGTCACACACATTCTTAGGGCTGGCATGACAATTCTTTTTGGGGTTTTGTGTTTTATCTATGTGTTTGTTCTTGCTTTTGCAATGCTGAAGGCTGAACCCAGGGCCTTGCATAATCTAGGCAAATGTTCCACTACAGAGTGACACTCTGCCCTGGTAAGCTTATTTTTGTTTTTGTTATTGTTGGTGGTGGTTGTGGGGCTTGAACTCAGGGCCTGGGCACTGTCCCTGAGCTTCTTTTGCTCAAGGCTAGCACTCTACCAATGAATCACAGTGCCATCTCTGGCTTTTTCTGTTTATGTGGTACTGAGGAATCAAACCCAGAGCACTAAGCTACCACTAAGCCACATTCTCGGCCCTGATAGGACTATTTTAAAGCAGCTTATAAAATCTAAGAAGCATTATGTATATGTTTAACACTCAGCAAACATTTTTCTTTTACATATTAAAAATTATTTTAATAGAAAAATTTAGTATCAGGTATGTTTCCATTGAACATCTTTTTTTTTTGCGGGGGGCGGGGTTCATTCATGGGGCTTGAACTCTGGGCCTGGGCACTGTGCCTCAGCTCTTCAACTCAAAGCAACCACTCTACCACTTGAGCCACAGTGCCACTCCCGGTTTTCTGATGGTTTATTGGAGATAAGTCTCATGGACTATCCTGCCCGGGATGGCTCTGAATTGTGATTCTCACATCTCAGCCCCCTGAGTAGCTAGGATTACAGGTGTGAACCACTGGCATCCTGTCAATGAACATCCTTTACAATGAAAAACAGTGGAGTCCTAGGACAGGCTTAAAAACCTAGTTTAGGCAAAAAGTAACAGTTGGTTTGCTTTTAGTTTGTTTTAGTGAATGTGCATCAACTTTATTAAAGT